TTTTGTTTTTAATTTCTTTTTCATGTTTTCTTGTTCTTGGAAAATTCATAATAAAATAAAAACAATTGATTTTTTAATTCTTCTTTTTCCTACCACTTCATGAAAATGTCTAGAAAATCATATAAAAATAAAAATGCCATTTTATTTTTGTTTGCCATTTTTGGTAGATTTTCCATTTAATTGACTTTTTAATATTCTTTAGTGCATGCATATTGTTAGAAAATTCATAAAAAATAGTAGATTCGATCAAATAATTCCGTTCTTTTTTCTGTAGACTCGTAATTCAATGTAGAATTTTATAGTGCAAAAACATTAGCTTAATCATGCATTTTCAGTTTAATTGCATTTTTGTATTGTTTTGATATTGAATAATTGGTTTATGGATATGTCTGCTTTGTTAATTTTGGTTCTTTCATCTGGTATTGAGTTCTGCTCTGTTTTTTTTAGTATGTTGTGCTAGAGCCATGTAGGTTTCCCATAGATTTTTGTTAGATTTTTGTAGGATGTTCTGATATGTTTTTGTCTGAGCTTGAGGATAGGAGAAGTCTTGATGGCTTCTGACTTTGAAGTTCAACTATGGTTGAACTTCAGAGATAGTCTCTTGTGGTTTGGTGGCCTGTGGGTTCTTCTTGAAGATGGGAGTTGATTGAGGTCCTGTTGGAGCTTGCAAGGACGCAGTGGATTGAGGTCTAGTCCAGGAGCTTGTTCCCCGTTTGTGAGGTTCGAGATCCTGAAGTTTGAAGGGAGTTTATGGTACTTTCCTGAGGAAGGCACTATGAATGACTTTCATTCTTTCTTCTCACCTCTTTCGTAAGTATCCAATGATGTTGGAGCCAACTTGTGAGTTTAATTCCTCCTGAGGAGGAATGTAAACTGATCACCTGTTGTTGAGCCACATGGGATACAATTCCTAAGTGGAAGCCTCCTAGTACTTTCCTGAGGAAGGTCCTATGGGTCTGTTCACTTAGTTCCATTAGTTTATCTAGGATTTCTAAAGTATCCAGGGATGTTGGAGCCAACTTGTGAGTTTAATTTCTCATGAGGAGGAATGTAAACTGATCACAGTTGTTGAGCCACGTAGGATACGATTCCTAAGTGTCAGCCTCCTAGTACTTTCCTGAGGAAGGTCCTATGGGTCTGTTCACTTAGTTCCCTTAGTGCATATAGGTTTTCTCAAATATCCAGTGATGCCGGAGCCTTCATGTGAGTTTAATTTCTCCTGAGGAGGAATGTAAACTGATCGCAGTTGTTGAGCCGCATAGGATATGACTCCTGAGTGGTAACCTCCTGGTACTTTCCTGAGGAAGGCACTATGAGTTTGTCTGCTTAGCTCCCTTTCTTTGGTAAGCTTGTTCTGAAGCTTGGAGACTGGGATTGATTCCTCTTGCTTAGGGTTAGAGTTTTGCTTAGAGTTTTGTTTAAGTGTTGCATAGAGTTTTGTTCAGAGATAGATTAGAAGTTTGTTTGTTAGGGGCCTTGCCCAGGAGTAGTTTCTTGTTTTGTAGATAGAGGCTCGTCAGGTTAGCTAGCCTTCTCTTCGTATTGTTTGACTTGTGTGATGTTATGTTGCCTTAGACTTAGGTGTTCATCTAGATAGTTCTGAGTTAGGTGCATCTTAGAAGTAGACTTTGTGTGCATAAGAAGTCGAGGTGGTCCTCCTTCTGTTTGTTTGTTATTGAGTGGCGTTGCTTGTTGGTATTTGGTAGAGCTGAGCTCCCTTACCTCTGTGGTTTGCGGCCTTTGCGCCTTGTTTGTTTAGTTGTTGCATTCATGCATATTTCCAGTATTTCTTTACTCTGCAGTATTTCTTGTTTGTCGTTTAGTCCTGTTGCCATGATCCCTTAGGAGCTCTGACTTCTCCGCTGCGGAGTCGTTATGATAGACATTAGGGTGGTCAACCAGGCATGATATCAGTAGGTAGATTCCCCTTTTTCAGCTATAGTTTTAGGGTATCTTTTCCCTTTCCTGTCAGTAGGAGCTTTTGAGTAGCTTGATCCGTAGTTAGCTGAACTACAGCTGCTCTGATTCTTCGTACCAGACGAGGATATGTAGGCATAGGATGCGATATCCTAGCGAGCACACTAACAACTAACTTTTGTTCTCTCGCGGCTGTGCGATCGAGACTTTCCCGCTAACGACTAATTGTTTCCCCTTTCTCTTGCCCGAGCGCATTTGAGACCAGATCGTAGTTGTAGGTTCCCGAACCTTTAGGACCAGTTTGTTTTCTCACTGCTGTGTGAGAGCCCCTGTTTACCCGTAGTTAGTCGAACTACGTTTGCTCTGATCTTTCATACCAGATGAAAGTACGTAGGCACAGGACGCGATGTCCTGGCGAGCAACCTTTTCCCTTTTTAGTCATAGGTAGTCGAACTACGTTGACTCTGACTTTCCCATTGCACGAGGGAATACGTAGGCCCAGAACACCGTATGTTCTGTCGAGTCCTGTCCTTTTCTTTTCTTTTCAGACTAGCCATTAGCGTAGATAGATAAAACACCCTCTTCCTTATAAACACCAAGCGTGGATCCCATCGAGTACGATGGACGTGAGGGGTGCTAATACCTTCCCCTTGCGTAACCGACTCCCGAATCCAGGTTTTGGTTGCGATGACCATACCTTTTCCCGTCTTTGCGAGGTTTACTTCGAGCGTTTCCTTTCCCGCTCTGAGGGACAAATAACGCACGGTGGCGACTCTCCTGTCAAGCCGGCGCCGATTTTCGCAGTAGCGACACTAGCACTTCGAAAGGTGTTGTAAACAATGTCATTATCCATTAGGCAATATCTCTATCCAGATGCTAGTCTCCAACATCTCTCTTGGCATACTTCTTCGTTAAGTTTGATGTTGTTCAAACCTCCAACAACTCTTTCTTTATCTCTATAAAAGGAAACTAAAGATTTGAAGGATGGTTATAACATCACTAACGCATTGAAAGATCTTTGGCATAACTCTGAGCTGTTATTTCGTAACTATTATTGCATAAGATCTCAATATTTCTTATCTTAGTCTATCTTAGAAATATTATAAAGATTGTAATCCTTTGTGATTGTTGAACAACTGTTATACTTCTGAATGTGTATCAAAGTATAGTAGTTACCTTTTCTACTAAACTATTTGTTTAAAGTAGAAGAAGTCTCTTGCATGCGTGCTTGAGCATTAAAGTCTCTTGTTTGTGTACTTGAGCAAGGGAAGTCTCTTTCTAGATGAATAGAGCATTGAAGTTTTTTGCAAGGTTGATTGAGCAATTATAATTTATTTGATTATAATGAAAAGCTCTCGTTAAGACAAAAAGACTAGATTGCTCTTAGTTAAGAAGAGAAATCAGGATAATCTTTGTATATTGCTTGGATTTACTTTTGAACACTTTATTTCTGCTGTTATTACTTATTCTGATAGCATACATAATTCAAACACACATATACCCACCATGTATTTTTCTCAGCTTCATGTGTTGTGTAAATTGGAGGGAACTCAAACGTATGTTTTAGATAAGGTTTTTGAATAAAACAATAAATGATTTGACATTCTGATTTGTAATATATAGATCTTTGATCTACAAAGCTTTTTCACACTAATTAATATTTCCACTCTAAATGCAACTATACCACTGCATGTGTTTTTCGCGTCATGATTTCTTGTTTGTGTTTTTGCTGCTTTTGTTTGCGATCTTGGATCTAATAAACTATATTAATAAAGCTATATATTGTAATATTAACATGACAATATGCATTAGTATAGTTACAGAACTATTGTTGAAATGATTATAACAACAGAGTCACAAACATATGATTTTTATTTTGTATTGTATGACATTTTTATAGAATAAACTTATCTCTACAGACGCACGAGTTTTCTACTAATATATTTTAAGGAGTAAAGTGCACTCTTTATATTTGAAATAAACTTATCCGTACAGACGCACGAGTCTTCTACTAATATATTTTAAGAAGGAGTAGAGTTCTCTCTCTCTCTCTCTCTCTCTCTCTCTCTCTCTCTATATATATATATATATATATATATATATATATATATATATATATATATATATATATATATATATATATATATATATATATATATATATAGTGTACATTGCCAAAAAATATCATTGTTTAAGTCCTCATATCTTATGTATATAAATGATGCATCTAAATGCTTGGAAATCTATATAAAGTTTAATATAAACTAGCATTGAAGCTGATTTCTCAACTGCAAACAGCATATATGACTAAGACATAATTCAATTATTTGGCATCATAATTAAGTTTTAAAAAATTGGCATCATAAGTAACTCTTCCACGAAACATCAGAATCTAAGAAATCTTTTGAAACCATAATAAATATGAACTTGTCATAAAAGCAATCAATTAAGCTCATTTAGTACATAAGCTACCAACTAGTGAAATCACAAACTTCCAAGGAGAGAAGAATTATGTAATATTAGACTATGATTTCCTTTTTATGGGTAAGAATATAACCCAGCAACAATCATAGACATTGTGCATCAACCATTTTCACTACACCCTGGTGATGGCTAGGTGTTCTATAACATGTAAAAATTGTAGCACTTTAAAAACATGTGATTACCTAATCAAAGCTTGGTCCATAGATCCACACCAAGACCTTGTCAGAATCAAATCTGGCAAAATAACGTAATTGAATATCGGAAAACAGAATCTATGCACCTAACTGCACCGAGAGAAACGAATAAACATTTAAGCATCCAAATTTGCATTATCTAGAATTTGACTTCTACAACCAAAGAATATAACATACCTGAACTTCCTATAGCCCCAGATAAACTCTTGATCTCTCTCCATTACAATTTACATCAAATATTCTTGAATATAGCCTAAGCGTAAGCAAAAGCTCATCTAATTTCCTAACCTAGTACCAGTTTCATGAATTTCACGGCTTGAAGTAATATATTAGTGTACAAGCAAAGACATTAGAAGCTTTTCTTGATAGACTAGCTTGCACAAGGTATACGATAATGTTCAGTGATCAAAGTTTAAACAAGACTACAATAAGCAGAAAGTAAAACCAGAAAACAAGCAATGAATTTGGATAACGGACGGGTGAAGCAGATTTAGAGAACTGAACAGATCCAGTAAAGCTTCCACTGCCGCCAGTGCTGCTCCCTGAACTTGTACTTGGTACAGAAATATTCTTGCAAGACCCGTACGTTGCACCTGCCTGCATAATTTCAGAAACAAATTCATTCAAAATCAATTTTTTTCACTGCAGAACCAAACACACGCTAAGGGCGTAAAGGCAAGAAACGCAGACAAACCTGGCAAGCAGCAACTGTGCTACATCCACACAATGAGTGGCCATTCATTTTATCCACAATATCAAAAACACCACCGCCATCACTCCTCTGTGATAATTTCCAATCAAAATGTTAACGTGTATGCAACGTGTGGTATGACTAAGTTTCCATTAACAACGCTGAAAAATGAGATATACCATGTAGAAGTTAACAGCTATGAAGTTAGGAACCACATTCCCTGCAGCTTTATAACATGTGTTCACCATCTCAGCAAGTGGAGCAGAATGCTCTTTGCACGAGTCAGCTTCAACCGGATATGTTGGAAAGTAATTCATCAAGAAAAGTGATGCACCTTTAGAGTTTAACGCCTTTGATTCTTTCCTATGTGGGCAAGAACCCTTTTGAACTCCAGGGTCTCCGGCTAAAAACAAGTGAATCATGAAACTTTCATTAAAACCGTGAGTGAAGGAGTTATATATATTATGGTATTGTGCTTACACTCATTTTCAACAATGTGCTTCCATTGATAAGCTATTCCTTCTTGAGCTTCCTTCGAAGCATCGGAAGTGAAAACAATAAGCCGATGATTCGCTTGAACCATCTCGGTTACAGTAGGCCAGTCATCTCCTTTTTTTGGCATCTTGGACACAGGAAACCAATACTTATCCAATCCAGCACTTGTGAACAGATTAGTCAACCCTTTTGGAGTATGCACATAGTCTTCGATTATGATGGTAACAATCTCAGATGGATTTTGCGTCAAGAATGCTTCCACTTCTTTCAAAGTATTGATTGCAGGTTGCTGAAAGAAACAACATTTCAGTGTAACCACACAAGTGCATAGCAACCACAAAAAACGCAATCTTAGTTTGTAAAATCGGTATAGCAAAGAGGTTTAGAGTTAGACTTAGATTACAAAGGCAGTGAAGTTGAAGCATTGCCCTCGAAACGAATGACAGAGCCAAATATCATTTTGAAAGTCGTACATATCCAACATTAGTCCTCGCACTCCATTCTAAATCATCATAAACAAACAAACAATACAACAAATAATTAAATTCCCAAAACAAACACGACAAGCAGAATTAGAATAGAATCCAGCTTAATCGAGCAAAACCATTAATTGCAAGCACAATACTGATTACGAATTTACACATACCCTCAACTGATTAGTTACACTATCTTCTTGATTGTAAAATGTTAGTCTCTGAACACCCGGCAAAGGAGGCGAATCAACAATGCTGAAGGCATTGTGAGTCACTATCCATGAATACTTGTTGAAGGGCAATCCATTCACCTGCACCATGCCCCAAAAGGTAAAGTAGGATCACAATCAGAAGCTATATAATATCCAACACCAACACATGATAGTGTCGTGTTGTATATCACAAAAGCTGATTTTTTTTTTCAAAACCCACATGCTTTTAAACCTTGAAAAGTAAAGAAAAGTTTGCACAAGTGAAAGGAATGAACTTACAGTGGATGTGGGAAGTATAGGCTGTCCTCTGGTACATATGGGTTGGTTCAATCCCAAAGCAGGACAATTACCGCAAAACAGACCCGACCCACAATCCGTAGCAGTAGAACAAGCTTCCCGAACCTGCTAAATTCAGTAAAGTGTGAAAGAAACAAAACAAATTTTCACAGATCTCTTGTACTGAAAGGAAAAAAGAAAAACCTGGCAATTGCCGTTAGAACAGGCGGTGGAAGAGGTGAAGAAAAGAGAAGAGATGAGTGGTAAAAGGAAGAACATGGTGGTGGTTAGTGCTCTGCATTTTGAACGGAAATGTGAACACATGGTTAGGTAGCTTTTGCAGAAGAGCACTATGCTATGATGAATGAACCTAAGCTACAAAGGTTTAAAATAGTAACATGTGATTAACGGGTTTAACTTTGTTTGGTGATGGAATCAAACTCATCTCATATTAATTTTGGAAAATAGAAATAAGAAAGGAATACAAGTTGATAATTGGTAATGAATTAAAACTTTAGTATAAAATATTTTACCTTAATCATAATTTTGTTTAAACTCATATTCTATATCAGTCATGCTCATAATTAAGCTGTTTTTTTTAAAGAAATTGAGGAAGACATATTTGATGGAATATTCCAATAAATAATATATGATGGAAAACATGCACTATAATAAGATTATGATCCTCTTCTTCAACTATGTAACTTAGAAAGTAAACTCCAATCACTTTCTCTAATTTATTCTAAGATGATCAAAAACTTTAATTAGATATATGATTAATGGGATTTTAACAAATGTGACCAAAATCTTTTGAGAATTCTTAATCAATTTTGATTTTAAATAAGATTATGTATAATAACTGATAATGAAAAAAATCAGAAAAGAAAAAAAAGAAAGTGTTTGATAAAATTAAAAAAAGAAGAGAATGATTTTCAACTGCGGAATCTCCGCCCACAAAATGTGGAAAACTTCTTTTATTCATTTTGCAACTGCAAAAATCTTTGAATACAAGTTATTACGAAATAAGGGTTACTCCCTCTATTTATAATAGAAGAAAGCTCAAAATTACAAAAGCCCAAAAATTACTATTTTGTTCTAAGTCGAAATTCCGTGTCAAACAACTTGCTTCGACACTTCGACATCTAAACAACTTGACACACACACACACCTTAGGCTAATTTCGACTAATCCTTGTTTCTGTCGAACTACACTGATTCGAACAAGGAATTAGAATCTCAACACATCACATAATTCATTGTGTCTAAGTTATTTATATTCATCATAGACCTTAACTTCTTGAACACTTCAACTTGCATTTGTTTCGTCATGATATCTGTAATCTGATTCTCAGTTTTGCAGTGTTCCAAGTTCATCTTCCTTTTGTCATACTCCGAATTTTCTCTACCTTTTTTATTATTATTTTCCCATTCGATTTTATTTTCATTTTTGCATCGTCTGCATAGTATCGCATACTTTTATCGAATAAACCCTAAAAATGATTAGCTAGGATGAATCCTCAGATGTACAGACAGGCTGGTCGAATCATTTCTCAAATATGCAGAAATCGGTGAATAAAAGGTTTCAAATTTAAGCTTGCAGACGTCAGTAATATTGACGTATTATTCGCGAAGCTTGACCTGGCGCGCTCGTCTTATTTTTTGACGACTTTTACGTCACAATTCAATCAATCTGAGCCTTTTTACCAGTCCTGGTCAATTTTCAAATTTGATCAAACGCTGTATTTTTTGAGTCGTTTATTCCGCGCTAATCATTTTGGTGAGGCCGATTTAATTTTTCGAGCACATTGTTGCCCGATTTTTATTCATTTTCAGCCGATTTATTTTTATGTTTTTATCAAAATATTTAGAATAATTAATTAGAATTTTCCATGATTGCATTTTATTTTTATCATGTTTATTTGATAAGTTGTAAATTTTAGTGGTTTTTAATTGATTTAATTCTATTAAATTAATTAAAACTTCTAGAAGGGGCAACTTTAGCATTTTAAATTAAGTGTGTTTCTTTTATTAAATAGGGATCGTTAGATTTAAATTTGATCAAGGGTTCATATGCATTATCCTCACTTTTCTTCATTAGCCAATCATATTTTATAATTTTTATTCTATTTTGTTTAATTAATAAAATCAGAAGAATCATTATTTTAGTCATTTAATTAAGGGACAAATGTCCATTTTTAATTGGTTAGTCTTTTAGAAGTTTGTCATCTCACCCAATTACTGGTGAACACATGGTCATTTTGTGGTGGCATTTCTTTTGATTTAATAATAATAATCATGCTACCAAATGGTAATAAAACATTTTAATTAAAAAAAAGAAGAAAAAATCTCTCTCTTGGATGCTTTGCTCTCTCCCTCGTTGGCTTCATAGAAAAGAGCATAAGAGCTTGTTGTTCTTCTTCTTCTCTCCCTCAATTTCCTTCGCTGCCGCGACCCACACCATTCTTCTCCCCTCACACTCATCTTCATTATCCCCTCCCACGACTAACTCCAACGCCTTCTAATCGATTCAATCTAACTAGAACAACAATAACGCGATATCTTCAATTCTCGCACGACTTAGCAACAACAACAATGTCAAGTCAGTAGCTCCATTTCAGGTTCATCAATTTCCGATTTAGCGACAACATCTGCTCACCTTTATTACGGCTTCGCACAAATTCGACGGCAATGATTTTGCAGCCCCTTGTAGGTTGATTCGCAACCACGACACACGATGACGATTCAAGCTCATTATGATTGGTCTTCAAATCTACACGTATGCTATCTTTTTCAAATAATTATTCATGGCATGTATTTACGTTGTTCTGTTCTTGTGTTGTCGAGTTTCGTTTCAACCATGATATTGGTTTATAGCTAGCTGGTTTTTAATTTTCATGGTGGATGAAAACATGTTAGAGGTTGCTCTTTTACATTATTATTTAGATTAACAGTTTTGTTCATGATGTGATGTTATAACCCTGATGTTGTTGTTCGGAAAAATAGCAAGTGTACTATTTTTACCGATGCAGTAATAAATGGGGTTATCCCCAGAATCTATCTCTCGAGGACTGCGTGCAATTGTATGTACAGGTGTTCTTTCAATTAAACAAAAATATCCTTGAGGGGTTTTGTTCGGTGATTTTGAAATAACTATAGTGACAAAATGCAATAAGCAGAATAATAAAATTACTTTAAGAATTATGAGAAAATATGCTAGGAGATGTGTATGAATTGCTCAGTAAGAACCCTAAATCATTATCAATGAGACATGCCTCAAAATCTTAATTTTTACTGAACCTCAATAATATTTTTGTTAAATTCCTTAACCGAAAAACCTTTGAGATTTTTCCTTTACCCTAATTCCTTAGCAGTCAAGGAAGAACATCAAGCAATAGTTCTAACAAGGATTTTATCAATCACTACAGGATATCCCTATTCTTAGGCAATATCTACCATAATGTATTATGCAAAACAATAGATTGGTTTTTCAGGCCAAATCCCTAATCGTTAATCGTTCCCAAGTTGTACTATCGAAAAAGTATTAAATAATTTGCATAACAAAAGATTAAGGTAAGAAAGCAAAGTCTCATTGAATAATTCAAAAGATGTTCATGTAAGTTACATAACAATTCAGGGGCACCCCCTAGCATTGGAGGGTTTAGCTATTCATAATATTCAAAGAAAACAAAATACAAAATAAAGACATTACAAGAATTGGTGATAAAAGTTGATCTTCAAGTTCTTCCGATCATGAAAATCTCCTCTTTTCCCAATCCTCCATAGCTCTATTCTTTCTCCTGTAATTCCTTCGTACGATCCAAAAGTCCCTTTCAAATACTCACAGATCCACTAGACAGGCCAGGAAATTCCAAAAATGCCCTTCGGGGTCAAAACTGGTCAACACTGACAAAAATAGGAAAATGACACGCCCAGGCCAACACGGGCCGTGTTGGCCCCCTGGTACAGATACAGAATAATTTTCATCATCCAGCCTTGCTGATACGGGTCGTGTCAACTGACACGGGCACCTGTGTCAGCTCCCTGTCTTGCACACCAACACGCCCATGTTGCTCTTCTCCTAACACTGCACGTGTCAGGTGACACGGTTGGCCGTGCCAGGCCACTGAATTTGCTTTAAAACCTTTTTTCGTCTTTCCGAAATCCCCGATTTCTTTGCCCGAGTCCTTGGCCTTACTTCGTATGAACTTGGAATTATCAAGACTACCACCAAACACATAAAATGCACCAAATATAATATAAATTACTTATGGAAACAATGCGATAATGAAAATGCGGAAAGCATAATAAATATCAACATTACGAAAGAAAGTGTTACCGATTGTTGTGACTTTATGCCAAATAAATGGACGAAAACGCATAGAATTAGTGACCGATCACAACCCCAAACTTATTTCATTACTTGTCCTCAAGTGATGCTCGAGACAACAAGAAGGTCACCCCCGAATTATTTGCAATAATCTCACCACAATACTGCCAAGATCTTTCGCGATTCGCCTTTTATGTTCCTTTTAACGGTTTCCTTCTCACTCGATTTTTGACGTTCCACCACATTTCCATATTGAAGTACCTTATCACCTGTCAGCTTTTTACACTCTCACCAAATCTCTCGGGTTAAAGTGTTTGCACTAAAAAATCATTGTATGCAAAGTCGACTCATAATCTTGAATATCATCTATTTTCTTATCATAAGCATACAATACATACTTTGTAAGGGCTTTACAGGTTGTAACTGGGCTATGGACATGGTGGGATAGACAATCGAAAAGGGAGAACAAAAGGGGTTTACAGGCTCAGATGCAGTGCCATTTTTCTCATTACCGTGTACTTTTCGATTTTCATAACCAATGGCGTTTGACACACTTTCTTTTAGATTTTCTAGTTTTCTCTTCTTTTTCTCTCCTCATGTGAAACCTTGAGAGTATTTTCTATAATTTATTTTCCAATCGGATCCTTCTCTAGGTAAGTGCCTTCTTTCATATAAGTTAATTATTTCTTTTTTCTTTTTTTTCAAGGATTTTCATTATTCTCTCTTTTTTTTTTTCGAAAGCACTTACCTACTTTTATGTGAGTGTCCCAACCCCAAACTTATAATTTTACACTGATCAAAATTTAACAACACTTATCCGAGCATGGTGAGGAAGTGTTTGGGCTTAAGGTTATATGATGTGGTTGATAACAAATAAGTGAGAATATGGCTCGAAGGGGCTAGCGAGGGATACATAAAAGGGTTGGCTTGAAAGGCTCAGGGATAAACAAAAATAAGTGCCTCAGTGTGTAGATGTGTGCATATGAACAATCCAATAG